TTCAACCGCCTCACCTCGTTTGACCGACGCCAAGTATGAGTCGTGTATTTCAAAGGCAGTTTCCGCTAAGGGTCGGAAATGTTATTCTCAAATTTTGAATACAAAGGAGCCATTATACATGAGAATTGAATTAAATTCGAACTACTGCTAACGACTCTGATGTAACAATCTACGAATACTTCGGTCCCATTCAACTTTTCGAGGAGAAATTTCTTGAACTAATAGTTGAGTTCTAAAGGGAGAGATTTGGCTATTAATGAAAGGAACAATGAATAAAAGTAACATTATATCTGTTTCGTCTTTTGTAGACGATATTATACTTAAAAAAATAAGTAAAGTACAAATGGCCCTTGAATCTAGGGAAGTTCTGACAGAGAAGACGGGTTATGTACGTTTGAATGATTTTAAGATAAATACATCTTGTGCGAGTATCTTGTCGTTTTTGTTCCTTTATTTTTATATACATGTATTTAAAAGCAGTTCAAATAGTTGAAAATTACCAAGTCTTTAAATAACCATCTGTTATTTAGTAGCATTTCAGTAAAATATTGTTTATTTTTTTATTTTTAAAGCACCATTGACAAGTTAAGTATCTTTACCTAGAGCATCTTTGAAATTCCTGAGCAAATGATACTAGGTAAGCTGTCGTAATTGTATTTTTTATTATAATCTTATTTTAAATCGATGAGCCGTGGTGGATCCTGTGCTATAAACACTCGCCGAACGCAACGCGAACAAACTTCCATGAAATAAATTGTTGATATATTATAATTAAAATAAGATAATAAATTCTGTGCCTAGCTGAGGGACTCATAAATGTTGATAACTTAAAATATTATGAGGCAGTGCATTTTATAAATACCTCTCAATACATTTATGAAAAAATTGTAATGTAGTACGTACACAAAAATAAAAGTAGTTTAACAAAAATAAGTGATATCTGTAATTCATTCTGTAAATACTAGGAACAGACACCAGCTAGTAGTACCAGTTACTCGACTCCATCGAGTCAGTAATTCATTCTTGGGGCGATGTATACGCTTTTATAACAAAATTCCAAAAAATATACAAAATTTGACCAGCTCAAGTACAAAAACTGTATTAAACTAAGTTTGTATAAAAAGGCTTATTATAATATTAAAGAATTTATGGATGATAATAACCCCTGGAAATGAGGTGATCGCTAACCAAGCTATTTCTAATTTGTTGTGTTGTTAATTTGTGTAACATACATGATTGTAAGCTGTTATTTTAAAAAAAAGTCCTGTTGGGTTTCTTGCTGGTTCTTTCCAGGACAAAGGTTTTTTTTCGAACCAGTGGTAATTAAACAAAAGAGTGACTTTCAATAAGTATTATTTATAATCTATATTAAATAAAAAAGTTTCTGTTTCTGTTTCCTATTACATTCCAACTATCGACGATTGTTTTTATTCGCAAAAATAAACTAGGTATAAATAACGTCAAAAAGCGATAATGAGTAAATCAGTAACCGTGTTTGATTCTGAGTGTATAACAGATTTGATTTTTAATATAAATAAATTTAATATTCTTGATCTCGCATTTTCATAGTCCCTCAAGTTCCGCTTTCACTACAAAATCCTACTTTATATCCATTTTGTATATGTATTTGGATGTATACAAAATGGACATTGGAAAACAGGTAACTAACGAGCATAGAGCTTTTTTGTAACCCTTGTACAGTGAACATACGCACGACTTTCTTGTCTCCACAGGAAAATAAAGATAAAACGCAAAAAAAAAAAAACATAAAAAATAACACAAAAAATCACTAACAGATATCTTATGTAGTTTAATTTATATTTTTTTACACTAACCAACACAGCAATCGATTTCTTTTATAAATTTTATAACATTAGCAATATAAAAAGAGTTGAAATTTCAACTTTTATACTAGTGATAAAGTCACTCAATGACCATTAAACAGTTTTGTTTAGATTGCATCGCCGAACCTCATAAAACATTTTAGAGAGCCATTAAATGTAGAAACTTTTCAGTTTTCTACGACATAAAATATTTATTTATAACAATCGCTTTGTGGATAAGATTTATATCATTGCTCAAAACACTAAATAAATACCTTACCGGGCTCTTTTAAATTGTCTAAGTAGGAACTTGAATAAATGTAAAAAAGTTATAACCAGTTTTAAACTAATTTTAACCAACCATCCAAATAGATGAGTATATCGTTCGAAATTGTGTACAATATTGGCGAGTAAGGAAGAACGCAATCAGTCATCGCTTGCCGAATCGCATCGCCTCCATCATCAACGGATTGATGTGGGCGGCATGATTTATTGTGTTCTAAATATTCCGCACTTTTTAACCCAAGCCCGCGCGTAAGAAAAATGAATAGTTGTAACATAAACGTTCCTCGCCGTGAATTATATTTAGACAGTATAAAATAGTTTTGAGTGTTTACAAATGTGTACTTCGCTATGAACTGAAATAATCCTTAAATTATATTATATAATTATATATACTAGCGACCCACATCGGACCAAAGACCTTAATTCATCCTTTTTTAGATTTTTCAAAAAAAAAACGCTTCAAGTTTTTCGGATAAATTATAACCTGGATCACTCCAGGCATTGCGTTTTTTTTTCTGTTAGTCAAATTTCATTACATATTTTAAAAATGGTTATCCATATCTTAATAACATGTAAATAACTTCCTCAACTCAAAGACAGTTATTTCGATATTAATGACAGACATTTTAATTGTATTTATATGTATAGAAATAGATATAGTATCTCATATATTGGGATGCGTATCGTTAGATGGAAGAGGCCAGGATAAGAGCGAAATGGTGACATGAGCTAAATTTTTTTTCGGACTATCAGGAAAATAGTTTCGATATGGGAGTGCACGGAAGATCTTTTGGACTCTAGATAGTACGACCTTGATTACGTGCAGATGTAAAATATCCAAACCAACAACCGGGAAGCGGTATCGAAAAAGCGAAATTGGAAACGCCGATATGATTGCCAAGCATGACGACTTCGACAAATTCTGCCTACGAGAAAAACGCACCAAGTTCGAACAAGTTTGCAAAAACAATTTTTTTTTTTTGAGGTCTAGAATAACAATGATTATGGACTAATTAGCTATTAAACAACTGTAGTTAATATCAAACAAACTGTTAGTTTTATGTTAGTGTTCAGTATTTCTTCACGACACAACGCTCGTCAACACGACGTACAAACTGTCTCAAAATTACAGAAACTTCGACAGATAACTCTTAAAAAGTGTTTTTTAACACAATCAGGCAATTACCTACTAACGGGAAAAAAAATTTAACTCCGATGAAACGCCTTTGAGAATTTATCTTATTTCGTCGCCAGAAAACCACCTAAAATGGCCGATTCTTCAATATAATAAAATAAAAGTAGAAATTATTTGTAGCAATTTTTCTATATCACACAACTATTTTAAAGGTAAGAACTTAAAGGATTTTCTGGTGATATGGTTCCTTTTTGGCGACTTTTTTTAAAGACCGTCTGGGTAGGTATATTTTTATTGCCGAACAGTAGACGTGGAGTAGCGTGGGATTTAGTCAGTTGAGCCCAACATATTCGTCATTGGCCCCGCGGGACAGATATGCATTTGGTGTGTGTGTGGCACAGGTGCTTCACTAATGCACGTAGATATTTTAAGACGTTATTTGGTATAGATTCACTAACACGTACATTTTAGAAACTTGAAATCCCATACGCATATCTTCATAGAGTTAAGTTTATAATTCAAAACTTATAATCCTAATCACCTAAAAAATTTCAAAAAATTAACCAGGCACAAAAACATTTACCTATTCAGATGCAGAAATTATCTACATTTTTTCATAGAATAAGGGTGCCAAACGAGCACATAGTCCACCTGATGGTAAGTGGGTGCTGTGGTCCATAGACATCTACATTTATCCTCTTTTTCTTTTTTTTTTTTATAGGATAAGGGTGACAAACGAGCACACAGTCCACCTGATGGTAAGTGGTTGCTGCGGCCCATAGACATCTACATCTATCCTCGTTTGCGAATCAAAATGCAGATGCGTTGCCACCCGTGAGGACTAAGATGGAATGCCTCATTTCCAGTAAAAAGGGCCTCCGGCCACCTGCACTCACCAAGCGAAACGCAGAGGTAAACCTCTACTTCACGCTGGTATTCTGTGAGGTCGTGGTACCACCCCGGTTCGAGCCGGCCCATCCGTGCGACAGCAAAAGCTGCCGCGTGGCTCTACCATTGAGACTCAAAATCCAGACGCGTTGTCACCTTTGAAGACTAAGATGAAACGCCTCGTTTCAAGTAAAAAAGGTCCACTCACCATACAAAACAGAGCAGCATGAAGGCAAGTTATCTGTAAGACAAGCGGCAGACAGGTTCGATGTACCAAGAAGCTCACTTCACGATCGCCTGAAAGTTTTGAAAAGTGGCAAAGAAGCTGCTTTTTACCCCGAAGTTGGGGCGAATCCACATTTAGTAAAAACTTTTCTATGCAACTATACGAGGACGTTAAAGAACTGGACAATCGTCTTATGCCATTGAGTAGGAAGGAGTTTTTAAAATTAGCGTTTGATTTGGCAGAAAACCTCAAAATCCCTCATAGATTTAATAAAGAGAAGGGAGTCGCAGGAAAGGACTTTTTTTACAGTTTTAGAAAAAAATATCCGAATATTGTTTTAAGAACTCCCGAATCGACTAGCATTGCGCGGGCTGTTGGGTTTAACAAACCACAAGTTAGCCGCTTCTTTGGCCAGCTTAATCACCTTCAAGAGAAATATAAATTCCCTCCTAGAATTTGCAACGCCGATGAAACAGGGGTATCAAACGTGCATAAAAATGATAAAGTCATTTCGCTAAAAGGAAAAAAACAGGTTGGTAAATTAACATCTGCAGCAAGAGGTCGAAACATCACAACATTAACTTTTGCGATGAATGTCACTGGTCATTTCATACCACCCCTTTTCAATTTTCCTCGGAAGAAAATGGATAAGAACGGTCGCTTGATGATAGGAGCTCCACCAGATAGTATTGCTATTCTTCAAGAGAGCGGATGGATGAACGGTGAGGTGTTCTTCCAATGGTTGCAACATTTTAATCAACATGTTCAGCCAACAGAAACAAATCCTGTCCTCTTAATTTTGGATGGCCACGCTAGTCACAAGGAGCTGGCAGTTATAAAATATGCACGTAATCATCACATTCAAATGCTAAGCACACCACCTCATACAACTCATAAATTGCAGCCGTTGGACAGGACATTTTTTAAACCTTTTAAGTCTGCATTTGCAACTGCAAGTTCAGCATGGATGAGGCGAAATCCTGCAGCTAGAATCACTGACTATGATATTGCTGCACTTGTGGACGAAGCCTTTAGCAGAGCAGCAAGGTTGGATATAGCACAAAACGGATTCAAATGCACATGAATTTATCCATTTAACCCTGAAATCTTTACTGACATTGATTTTTACCATCAATGATGACAGATGTGATGCAAGAAGATTCTTCCAAAGAAAATATGGCCAATCAGTTCTCAGTAGCACATTCTTTATCGCCAGTACCCTCCACTAGTCATGCATTACCTGCAAATGAACCGGAGCCTTCAACCAGCTCAACAGATATATTGAAACAGCTATCACCATTTCCTGATGCATCAAAAAAACGGTCGTTAAAGCGGGCTCGAAAAACTCAAAGGAGCGAGATTATAACATCATCACCTTACAAAAAAGATGTAGAGGAAAGACAGAAAAGTAGAAACAGAAAAGCGAAAAAACAAAAAAGTAAAGGCACTAAAAAGATGTTAAAAACAACTAAAAATATTCAAAGTCTTTCCAAAGAAAATCGAGAAGAAGAGACCGAATGCATCGTATGTGGAAAAACATTTGAAGAGGACTGGATTCAGTGCCAGGAATGCAAAAACTGGGCCCATGAAGACTGTGTTTACATAGATTTTTCGGATGTTTATTTTAATTGTGATGTTTGTAAGGCCAAAAAACGATTAGGCCAGTATTGATTATTATGTTAGGGGCTACCCGCCGTCTTTTGTATCGTCAAAAAAATAAGACCAAAGTATTTTCAATATATTTCTTTAAAAAAATATATGATTGCTAATTTTAATTATTATGATTAAAGAAGTTTCTAGCTTTACTTTAAGTGTATAATAAAGACAGAAATTTTGTTTATTAATATTTTTATTTGCAATTTATTAAGTGTCTGGGGCTACCCGAACTTCCCCTACCTATCTGGTAAATGTTTTTTATTCACTTACCAGACGAATACGCATATACGAGTACAAAGCAACCTGTTGTTTATTTGTAAGTGTTTTGTAGTATTCTTTGCAAATGCTTGAAAAAAGTTATACAATTGTGCCGTAACGGAAAGCATCGGCCCGATGCCTACGTCAGTGTCATTGTACAAAACCATCGAGCCAGCGAATGAATAATAAAGAGGTTTCATGCGAACTGCCCTCTGTCATAATAAAATGCGACGCTTCGTTGAAATACCAAATATATTTTCTAAGTCGAGAATAGACGCGTTTGTTCAAGTGTCGCTCATAATTATTACGTTTGCAAACGGCACTAATGGAAATTTACTTATTATGAATATCATCAGTCAAATATTGGCAGTGAACGTCAGCGGCGCAAACAAGGATAATAAAATTTCCGAATTAGTTCTATATAATATTTAAATCCGCATTCAAAAAAAATATTTAATTTTTTTTTTAAATTGCTTAATTTTCTTTCTTCATATTATTGTAAATTGTAAAAATGAATGCCCTTAAAAGACTAAAATTTATTTGGAAATATCTAATGCTTTAACAAAGCCTGTACTACTAAACAAAAACTTCCCGCTCATGGAGCTGGCTCACGAGATAGTACAAGGTAGAATATTATATTTTTGTTCTTTATATAATATTACTTCTTCAATTTCTTGACATTTTAAAGGTTTCAGTAGGTAATCAAATTTGAAAAACTTATTTGAACTCGCTGGTTGATGGCTTCCTTACATAGAATATTAATGTTCTTAAAACAAATCCGTACAAAGATATTGCCAAATTAAATGACGCAAGCCCTTTGACGGAGTAATAATAAACAAGGTGCCTTTTCAACATAACATTACTTAATAAATTATGTACAGTACTATAACTTGTGTAAAGTAATAAAAGTAACTTTAAGTTGGATATTAATAGAATCAGGCGTAAGTGTTAGAGTGTAGGCAGTGACCAAAAGCAGCGAGCGAGCTACTCGGGTCACGTTAGGTCGAAAAAATAACGATTGCAAAAGAAACAGTGATATAAAAAAACGGATTTGTTATTACCATAATATCAAAAATATAAATTCAAAAAAGGACATGAAATTAAAAAAAAACCGGCCAGTGCGAGTCGGACTCGCGCACCGAGGGTTCCGAACAAATCCGTAGGTATATAAGTTTAAAATTATTAAAAAAAGTTTATTATATGATTTAACTAAAAATTTATGTTTTTCGCAATTTTTCCTTTATCTGTGCTATAATACGTTGCTTCGTACCAAATTTTAAGATTCTGAGTTCACGGGAAGTATCCTGTAGGTCTTGATTCCCTTGCGAATGTCGAAAATTTGCGGCATAAACGGCTGTATCTTTTGATTGCGTTGGCTTAGAAGTTTCATATTTTCACAGCTTTAAGGGACAGTAGACTTGAGTATTTGATGTGAATTTCAGCTTGATGATACCTCCACGCGTTCCTGAGAAGAAGGGTCTTGACAGACAGACAGACATACACAAAGACAGACAGACGGACAACAAAGTGATCCTATAAGGGTTCTGTTTTTTCCTTTTGGAGTACGGAACCCTAAAAAGGACCCTTCGTAATTTTTTAATCAATCATATTAGTACTTTACAACGGCGAAAAGGGAAAGGAAAATGGCACACAATTCATTGCGTAATTAAGAAAATTTAATGGATCCTACATAAATACAAAATTGTTTACACTCGCTATTAGAAATATGTGAATTGGGACGATTCGTTGTAATAACACATTTCGCATCTTATACCTTGATCTTAGTTATCCATCCGCATCTCGGGCGCTATCTTAAAACCTTCTGAACTAATTCAACACTGAGTCACGTCCACTCTCTTTTTCTATGGTAGGTACTACCTTTGATAGCCGTAACTTTCAGTTCTAATAGTTTGACGAATGAGTCGGCGCGGTGACGTCACAGTGTATCACGTTATCTGTTTTCGGTTGGAAGCGCATTCCTCGCAGTTCTCCAGCCTATTTTATATTTATAGTCGGTCGCTTTATCGTCCGACTATTACACATAGTCGGGCTCGGGCGGGCGTTCCGCGTCACCGACGCACTCAGGATTGAGTCGTGCGTAGATAATTCACGAAGCATTATTCCGGACCGTTTCTCTTGCATTATGTATATCATTGTGGATAAGTTTATTGGTTATGTTGTTGTTTTTGATTTAATTTTGTTCTATTCAATCATTTTTTGAATCAAGCCATGGATTTTCTAATAATTTCTCTCAAAGTCACCACCACACACCTCATTTTAAGGTTATGTTGGATATTCTATAAGCACTAGCAGTCAGGATGGTTAAAAATATCTAATGAATCAGTCAGTACGGTAGAAATAATATAAATGTTAATAGGCACTAAGTTCTGTTTCCGTAATATTTCATACCTTTAAATTAATTTTCTATTAATTAATTATTAAATCATATACGACGACCAATTTGATCGGAACGTTTTGAACTACTTGGTATTTTTGATTTTCTTCTTGAATTTAAAATATTAACGGAAAGTAATTTAGCTGAACTGAAAAATTTAGCAAGCCAATACTAACCTAACCTAACAGAAATTAATTATTCTAAAATAAATAGAGTATCTATTTGTAATATCTTGTCGTTCAATAATTAAAAATTAAAAATGTAGTACAAATGACTTCAATACAAATTATTAACAATAACTCAAACACTATTGGTCAGACCTTGATCAAATTTATATACACATGAGAAGCTTTCAAATAAAAAAGAAATCATCGAAATCGATTCACCCAAACAAAGTTATTAACTCATAACTTTTTTAACACACATAAAAAAACATACAGTCGAATTGAGTACCTCCTCCGTTTTGAAGTCTGTAGAAAATGGATATAGTCGTATATATAAAGACAGAAACTCAAAATGGTTTTACGTCGTAGCTTAAATAAATTTAATTGCACTTTAGCTGTAACATTAATACATAATAATTACAGTTGCTACTTGCTATATTCATAGGATCTTAGCGCCCGTTCAAATCTCAATGTTTTTATCGGCGAAGCCAATGACCCCGAACCTCGTTTGTACTTAACTTGTCCCAGTTTCACATTTTTTATTGGAATATCATTGATGTGTTAAAAAAAATATCCTCTTGTTTTTAAGACAAATAAATACACACCCTTCCACGTTTTAGCATATAGTATGCATAAATGCAAGAACATTTATGCTTTACTGTTTTCTATTTTTATTTTAATCTATAAGAATTAAATGCTGACAATGTCATTTATTAAGTTATTGGTGCAGTTACTTTCAAATACAGAAAGATTTAAATTTGAACCTGTTCACACCAAATATTGACAATTTGCACTCTTTTGCATTCTACCTGATGGTAAGTGGATGTTGTGGCCCATAGACAATCTACATCTATCCTCGTTTTGGATTCAAAATGCAGATGCGTTATCAGCCGTGATGTAATGCCTCTTTTCCAGTAAATAGGGTCTCCGGTTCTCTACACTCACCATACGAAACACAGCAGCATTAAGCTGCTATTTTACGCTGGTATTCTGTGAGAGCGTGGTCCTTCCCCGGTCGAGCCGACCCATTCGTGCTACAACTATAATATTAATATAGCTGCAGCATGACTCTACCACGCATAAACTCTACCTGGATGCTAAATTTCAAATTTCTAAGTAACCTAGAAGAAGTGGGCTAGGTTTTTGATGAGTGAACAAATGATAAACGGCACTTTTCAGACCTTAATAACTCAAAGACTAACATAACATATAACAAAGTGAAATATGAAATTTGCGATTCTAAATACCCAAGGGTCTCAAAAGGGTCAAGGTATGCAAAATTACAAATGTGTAGATTTAATCATTTTTGAGTAAGGGGTTAGAAAATGGCTCGAAACGGTTCATGTAAATACTGCCGGTGCGTCGCCCTTTTCCTTTTGTGAACTTGGTTGACTCACTCCCTTGAGTCTAGATCTGTGAACGTATTCATTACATGTGCATTGCTTTATGCAATATCGCACTCATGGCGTTCGCTAGATAGCGATATATATTACAAATTAGTTTTTACGAAGTCTGCAGTCTGTGAACATTTTCAAGATCGTCCCGGCCACTACATCAGATTTTATAGACCACAAATCCTCGCAAAAGAACACCGATTCCTGACTTCCTGAT